GAAAAAAAAAAAAAAAAAAATATATATATATATATATATATATATATATATGTTACTTTTAAAATTTCACCTTTATTGAATCATATATTTTAAAAGCATAATAAACTCCAATTCTTAAGTCTCTGACACTTCCTAAACATTTTCTTTCTGAAGAACCAAAAGAAAATGTGGTTATTTTAGGCGAGAGAATCATATTCAATTCAAATCCACACGCATTTAACACCTATTTTGTGCCAGACATTATACTGAGAACTGAGGAAACAAAGATAAATATGTATATGGTCTCACAGAGCTGACAATCTAGTTGGGAAAACCAGACCATTTCAAACTCAATCAAGTTCTGCCCCCTACCCTCATACTGCCACCCATGTGCTCTACTAGCTAGAGGAACAAAAGCTCTGGTATCCTCCAGGAAAGTGTAAGTAATTCTGCCAGGCAAGACGGAAAAATCTTCCGAGAAGAGAAGCTACGTCTTGAAAGATGAGAATTTCACAAGGGAAAGTGGGATACTGCAGGCCAAGAAGGACAGAAGGAGCAAAATCAAGAAAGCACAAAAACATGGCATGCGTGAGGAAACCCATGTGGCAAGGGTAGGGATAACAATTTTGGGTACATGTGCTACTACTCTTCTACCCTCAGCCCATGACAGACCTCACTGATCAATTAAAGCATGTTTAAGTCCACATGAGACTCAAACTCCTTCTCAACAGATAACTCAAAATCAATGGAAGGAGGCAAGTCCATGAGATGAAATTTATGTGCTATCCTCAGCCTGGGAAGAGAAAGTGGTGGGATTTGAGGCTAGAAGGGTAAATTAAGAACAGATTATGAATGACAGTGAATGCTAGGCTAACAAGTTTAGATTTTATTCCGTGGGCAACCAAGGGTGAACAGAGGATTTTATGAGAAATAATGAGAAATAATGACACGATCAACTCTGGCAGATGTCTGGCAGATGTGCAAAGAAAGATTTTGGACCAACAGAATAAAGGCAGAAAGAACAGTTCAAGAAGCTTTTGGACCAACAGAATAAAGGCAGAAAGAACAGTTCAAGAAGCTACACCTTCAGGACTTCCCTGGTGGCACAGTGGTTAAGACTCCATGCTCCCAATGCAGGGGGCCCAGGTTCAATCCCTGGTCAGAGAACTAGACCCCACATGCAAGCCGCAACTGAGAGTTTGCATATCATAACTAAGGAGCCCACCGGCCGCAACTAAGGAGCACACGTGCCATAACTAAAGGAGTCCTTGAACCTCAACTAAGGAACCTGCCTGCCGCAACTAAGACCCGGCACAACCAAATAAATAAATTAAATCAATATTTTTTTAAAAAAAGAAGCTATAGCTTCTCAGTCCAGGCAAGACACAATGAGGCCTGAATTTCAGCAACGGCAAAAATCTATTGCAGGTTCTAAAACAAAAATGTAATGTTTTAGATTTCATAATTCTTGGTGCCTTTTTTTTTTTATAACTTTATTTATTTTTGGCTGCACTGGCTCTTCGTTGCTGTGCACCAGTTCTTCTCTAGTTGAGGTGAGCAGAGGCTACTCTTCATTGCAGTGCGCGGGCTTCTCACTGCAGTGGCTTCTCTTGTTGCAGAGCACGGGCTCTAGGCACATGGGCTTCAGTAGTTGTGGCATGCCAGCTCAGTTGTTGTGGCTCACGGGCTCTAGAGCGCAGGCTCAGTAGTTGTGGCACACGGGCTTAGTTAGTTGCTCCACAACATGTGAGATGTTCCCAGACCGGGCTCAAACCTGTAACCCCTGCACTGGCAGGCAGATTCTTAACCACTGAGCCACCAGGGAAGCCCCTAATTCTTGGTTTTAAAACAAGTTTGAGAAGAATTAGTACTCTAATTAGAATTCCCTAATAATACTCAAAAAGGAAAAGAAAAGACAAATTAAGGTAAACACTAGAATTAAAGAAGTGAATCACAATTTAAAATTACTCAAGACTATAAATTCAGAAATAGATATTTCAGGTTTAGCATCAAGAAAGAGAACATCCTCATGACCAGACTAATACTCAGCAAGTCTTTTCTTCCTGAGGGCACTAATACTCCAGCCAACAACACTACTTACCTTACATGCCCCTACAAATCCCAGTGAGATGCAGAAAGCACAAAAGTCAAATTTAAACTTTAACTCTAAAATTCTTTGTGAATACAACCCATATGTAGCACTTTGGGCAGTATGCAAAAAAAGCAACTTCCTATCATTTCTGCAGAATGTTTAATAAATGAAAGTATTCTAATTAAAAATTAGAACTTCACTGTAGATCAAAAGGCCAAAGAGAAAAGTTTTTCTGTTTTGGAAAAAGAAATTCTTTAGCTGTTGCAAACAAAGGCTAATGAAATCCAGGTGCAACATATCAACAAGCATGCTAGAAAAGCTAGCATTACTGTTTTAAGACCTAAGGATATTCAAACTAAAGATAAAATTATCCTGTAGTGAATGCCAACAATGCACTTCATACTACATAGACACATATTCAAGGGTTCTACTTTGTTCTCATCCCAATTCTTTTGTGTCCCAGTAACAAACTCTCAAATTGGGATTATCTTCCTTTTAAAACAAGCTAAAATGAAAAACATGAACTCCAGCAATAAAATTTATTTGTGGTATACTGTTTATTCTGAGAAAGCAAATCAGAAGAACAGTTTATCATAATCAATCTCTTTTCCAGAAAGATATGGATTAGCTAGTCATGAGCAGGGTCTATTTCTCATGATGTCATTCTAAAGTCATCACTAAATGTTACACATGCCATGCTTCCTTCAAATCAATCACAAAACAAGTCATCCTAGACTGAGGTCAAATTCCTTTCCAACTAAAAGAGCTCCAAACTTAAGTAATGGTCCACTTACTAAGTAATACTCAGAGACCAAATTCCAGAAAAACCCTCCTCCTGTACCTCCCCCACCTAAAAAAAAAAAAAAAAATTAGTCTCCTTTTAGCTCAGTGTAATGGAATGTGACCTGTAGTTAAGGGGTTTTCCATTCCTATTTACTGCTTAGAGAACATGAAGCAGATCTATTCTCTCTCAGAAGGGTAATGTATTTTTTTAAAAGAAAAAAAGTGAAGTGTAGGAGGTTAATCATATATAATAATTAGAACAAACAAAAGGTAAGTTGATTTACTAGATTTCTCATGTTCGACAGAATGAGTATATTTAAATCACAACTGAATGTTTATTTTTATTTTACAACCTGATCAGACATCTAAAAGATTTATGATTTGTGTGACTACTAATAACTAGGTAGGGAAGGGGACGTTAAAACTACAACTATTTAAATAAATCTTCACACATGAAACTACTATAAACATCTTTTCACAACAAATCATATCTTTATCATTGAAGTTACACACTTAAGTACCTAAGCATGGAGAGAAGAACAGGGAATAAATATTTTTAAAATGTACTTCACAGTTTAAAATTAAACACATCTATCTGGAGTTCAGTTTCTCATTTTTTTAAAAAAAGAAGATATTTGACTAGGTGATCTTTAAAGCTACTATGATACTTTAACACAAGTTGTAAAGTGAACACATTCTATGATTTAATTCAGACAAACCTCTTTCAAGATAACCCCCTTAAGGATATACTTTACTTACATTCTTCCTACACCTTCATACATGTTAGTCTCATCTACCAAAGTCATAATCTCTGTATCTGTAAGATGTGCATGCTTTTTCGTTCTGTTTAGCTGTTCAATCTGTATGTCTGCAAGCTTCACCTTCTGTTGAGTGTCAATCACTTTGGCTTGAAGCTCTGTGAAGGCCTAAAAAATAAGTCCGTGATTTAGTAGATGCAACATTTTACAGGAAACATTTAAGTCAAATCTAAATATACTAAAATAAAGCCTGCTAACCAGAGACAAAGCTGTGAAATTTACCACAGCAAACATAAATAAAAATCAATATAATTGTAAACAATCAAGCCACTATGCTAAATACATTTGACTCTTGAACAATTCGGTGATTAGGGGCACTGACCCTCCGTGCAGTTGAAAATCCAAGTATAATTTATAGGTGGCAGTTCCTATACAGCAGTTCCTCTGTATCCTTGGTTCTACACCAGTGGATTCAACCAACTACACATTGTGTAGTACTCTAGTATTTTCTATTTTTAAAAATCTGCATACACCTGGATCCCCGCAGTTCAAACCAGTGTTGTTCAAGGGTCAACTGTACTGAATTTACTCAGTCCTCAGAAGATGCAACCTATTTGAAGCAGAACAAAGGTAAATAATAACCATATCAAGTAGCAAGTATCCAAGGAGTAATAAAAGCACTAAATGCAACAGTCACAGGATGAAACCCAGAGATCCAAAACAAGAAACATAAATGTAACAACTCACTACATCTGTATTACACAACTAGGTGTAAAGTACTTTCCCACATTTGTCTGAAATATTAACATGTGAATATTAATATGAGAATACTGACAGATATAATAAATGTCTCATTTACTCTTTTCAATAATCCTGAGTTAGGGATGGCAGTTTCACCACCACAGTTTACAAATTAACTAAATGTTTTAAAGAGATATAAATGACTTGCACAGGGCTGAACAACTACTAAGTGGAAAGGCAAGTACTTAAATCCATTTCTTCTGACCTCTAGTTCAGGCATCTTTCTATTCTACTATCTACAGTAATATTCAGAAAATGAATATTTTAAGAGAAAAACAAGAATTTCAAAGCATTGTTAGAATTGCATCATGATCTTCATACACACATACCAAGCCAAATTTAACATTTGAGTACCCTTACTCAAAGATAAAATGTTCTTGGATACTCATGAAGTGCCTAGAATGACTTTCATATGCTCTCAAATTTATGCCTTAATAATAACATTTGCGGCTGCAATACACAGCAAAAGCTACTACTTAATTTTTATTCTTTGTTCTCATCGACTAGTAAGGTTTCAAAAGATTCATTTTGGGGGAGAGGAAGTGCCTAAAGTTTCCTACTAGTCTCCACCTGCCGCGCCCCCACCCCCCGGCCCCCGCCAAAAAAAAACCTTATAAAGATATTAGAAGACCTTTAAACAAGTTTTTTTTTCAATTAATTTCATTGGTTGTCAAAACTACCCAATTTAAGTCTGTAATCATTTTCTTAGTTTGCATTCACTGTCCACAGGTTTCCTAGCAACAAATTCAAATAATACTGAGCTGTAAGTCCATTCACAGCTGTACTCTATTGTTAGCTCTTTCACTAAAACCTAACTTAAATTTGAACTTTTAACAGAAAAAAAACGTAAACTTTTATAACACTTTAAGACACAGTTTGCTAAGGAAGCTGGTATATTGTTAATGTTGACATTACAGCACTAGAGACCACATAAGGACTAAAGGTACAAGTTCCAAACAAGAAGCAAGACACACACACACATAAATCCTCAGAGCAATAATAAACAGCTTCATTTATTAGGTGGAAAAGCTATTTCAGCTCTCCTATTTCTTATGCAGAGGTTGACCAGGAGACAGCCTTAAGTAAAATTTGCTCTTCTGACGAACCAAAACTAATGGTCAAAAGGTGGGAAGTAAGGCAAAGAATACTGGATTCTAGTCCCATCCTTGGTCTGAGTCTTTTCTGAAACTGTTTCCTTTTCTAGAAAAGTATAGGTTTAAAGTAGGTAAAGTCTAGGAATCCCGACAACTCTTAAGCTGCGAAAACGTTCCTGAGTAACAACACATTTACAGGCAATTGTTTGAAAAGAGAAACCCAATTCCTTCTGATACCGATTTTATCTGGAAAACTTTGTTTCTTATTTGACAAGTCTTTAAATAAAAACGGGGGCGCGGGGGGGGGTGGAGCTAAGACCAAAGCCCTAAGATGAACACTGCTATGAGAATACCTAACTGAACTGTATGTAGCGACCTTACAAGGTATGGGATTGAAGAAGTGGCCTAAAAACACAGGTTGGACTTGGATTTTTTCAAAGCAAATTAGAGTGCAGAATTAGATGCCTCAGCTCGGGCAGCCGTCTCAAAGGGCTCCAGCTGGAAACGCTCACTTCAGGCCTCACTATGGAACTGAAAACTCCAAGCTCAACGAAAGGTCTCTGGAACTCGGAACTAGGGAACAGAAGAGCTATCGGCCCGTCAGACTTAACCAGGCCCAACGCAACCGGAGAGCAGCTCGCCCCCGACTCCAGCCTAAAGAGACCCTGTCCCGCCTTAGGACTCTGAGAAACCATTCCCCATTTCCCTGGAGCCTTCCGCAGGACTCGAGTCTCACTCGATATTCTTGTCCACAGTCCCCTTAGCTTCCAAAGAAAAAGTCTCTGCCTGCTCAAGACCTTCTTTTACCTTCTTCAACTCCAAATCCACGGGGGCCGCCATCTTGCTTCACTCCTGCGCCTGCGCAGTGGGAGAAGGCCGGAAAGAGGATGGGGGAAGGGCGCTCCTTGACGGTTTGATTTCCCCCCTCCCTTCTGCGCCTGCGCATGAGTCTGGCTGCTCGGTTTTCCAACGTTCTCCTGCGCTGGCAGCCCCTGAAATATCCAGGATTCCGATTCAGAGTACATCTTCCCCACGTGACCTATAGGCCTGCCCTGTTTCTCCACGACCTTCCAAACACAGCACAATGCGCAGATTTCGTGTATGGTTTTAAGCATTTTGCCAAATAGCTTAATTTGTGCTGCTAAATTGAGATGTATGTAGATTAGGCCAAAACCTCTTAAGTCATTCATGCCTTCAGCGAGTCCCTGTGCAGTCAGGCATGAGAGAATTGGCATGAGAGAGTCAGCCTGAGAGAATCAGCCTGAGCTTCAGGCATGGCAGTGTGGAGAAGACCAGAAGGCTTAGTTGAAGTGTTCTCCCAAAGAACTTATTTCTACTGAACGCTTCTGGAAGACCTTCTAGACATAGTGGTTCTCACGAGAGCCCACATTAGTTTGTTTAAAAAAAAAAACAAAACAGATTCTCTGATCCTCATCCCAAGCTTAATTACTTAGAATCTTTGCTATGGGGCCCAGAAATTTGCGCTTTTGCAAACTCCCCTTATGACCTGGTGCAAGTGGTCTGCAAACCACATTTTGAGAATCTGCTATAAAGTACCTGGCATTTGAACCAGAAGAGTGACTAGTAATTGGACTTCTGGGCATGAAAGAAATATATGCCTCACCTACTCTAAAAATCTGTGGGGGAGAAGAAAGGGCAGGGAATTTGGAACTAGACAGGTCTATATTCAAGGTTTGGTCTACCTTGAGCCTAGGCATGTCTGGTTCCATATACTAGTTGTATAGCAATAGAGTTTGTCTCCTCATTTAATATGAGAATAACCCTAACAGGGTTATTCTGAGGAATAAATAAGATCAGGATGAAAAGCTCCGAGCATAACACAATGCACACAGTAGGTACACAATAAATAGTTGTAGTTAAGTTCATGTAGTTAGCATTGTTGTGTTTGTCTTTCAAGGTCCAGCAAATGGGCCACATCCTCCTTTATGTATTTTTTTATTTTTTGCATCACATCACACAGACCATAAATAATCTCTCCTCAGACTCTCAAGACTACATCTATTCCTTTTTCAAGGCGCTTTCTATCTTAAATTTGTTTCGTATTAGACTTACTAGCAATCCAAGTGTCCATCAGTGAATGAATGTATAAACAAAATGTGGTATATACCAGAGGTCCCCAGCCCCCGAGCCGAGGTCCAAGCAAAGCTTCATCTGCCTCTCCCCATCACTCACATAACTGCCTGAACCATCCCCCCACCCCACCCCACCTAGTCCGTGGAAAACTTGTCTTCCATGAAACCGGTCCCTGGTGCCAAAAATGTTGGGGACCGCTGGTATATACATAAAATGGAATAGCATTCAGCCTTTAAAAGGAATGAAATTCTAATTCTACTTAGAATTCTAATGCTACAACACGGATGAACCTTGAGGACAGTACGCTAAGTGAAATAAACCAGTCACAAAAAAGACAAAATACCGTATGATACCATTTATAAGAGGGACTTAGAGTAGTCAAAATCGTAAAGACAGAAAGTAGAATAGTGTTGCCAGGGGCCAGGGGGAAGGGACAGAAAGGGGAATTCTTGTTTAATAGGTATAGAGTTTCAGTTTTACAAGATGAAAAGAGCTCTGGAGATGGAAAGTGGTGAGGATAACACAGCATTATGAATGTTTTTAATACCACTGAACTGTACACTTAAAAATGATTACAATAGTAAATGTTATATTATGTATATTTTACCACATTAAAAAAATGAAAAAATGTATTTGTTCTTCTTTCAAATCTACATGTTCTTTTCTTTTTCATAATGATATGCAGTGATATGTTCTTGCCTAATAGTGAAAATAATTAGAACATAATGAACATAATTATTTTTAAATTTCTTTACAATGTTTTATCACCTGAAGGTTTTTGGGTGTGAATTCTTCCACTGGGGGCGTCTGCTAGTCTTTCTTATGAGACTTGATTTTCTCATTTGACTCAAGTTTTTGATTAAGTTCCTATCTTCAGTGTCTAGCATGTCCTGGACGATGGAAACATCTCACATTCACTTCTTCTTTTTTTTTTTGGCTGCGCAACACACTTTGTGGGATTTTAGTTCCCTGACCAGGGATTGAACCCGGGCCCTCAGCAGTGAAAGCGCCAAGTTCTAACCACTGGACCACCAGGGAATTCTTCCACATTCACTTCTACCAGAGCCCTGTGAGAGACATGAGTTCCAGACCAATTTTTAGGGTGATTCTTGACACCACATGAGTGAAGCAAATTTAGCGAAAAATAAACTTTGCCCTGAGCATAAAGTTGGCAGAATGTGTTATACATTTATGGACTGGCAGCCACTGTAATATGTTTCCTTTTTTAAAAAAAATATTTATTTATTTATTTATTTATTTGGTTGTGCCGGGTCCTAGTCATGGCAGGCAGGCTCCTTAGTTGCGGCACGTGGGCTCCTTAGTTGCGGCATGCATGTGGAATCTAGTTCCCTGGCCAGGTATCAAACCAGGGATCCCTGCATTGGGAGCACAGAGTCTTAACCACAGTGCCACCAGGGAAGTCCCTGTAATATGTTTCTATATGTCCTTTTTATTTGGGCCTTCAAAATAAATATTTCCTTTCTCTCTCCAGAGCTTCTAAAATGGCAGGAAAAGACTGTCTATGAAAGCCCTAAAGAGTCTGCAGTCCTTGGACACTTTCCCAGAGAATAACCATACTGTGCTTGCTTCTATTATTTTTATTTAAAAAGAAAACAAAAACAAAAACAGACTTCACACTGAAAGCTTCACTACTACAGGGATATACTCCTTCTGAGGTTCAAAGAGTCCACAGTGGTGGAATTTAAAAGGTGATCCTCTATTACCCTTCGGCTCTGCTAATCTATGCACAATACACTTACTTATTCATTCAACAAATATTTATTGACCATCTCTTAGGCACTAATCTAGGGCCTTGGGATATAACAATTAAGAAGAGACAAATTCCCTGACCTCATGGAGCACACATTCCAGTGGGGAAAGACAAACAATAAACATGCAGGGACTTCCCTGGTGGTCCAGTGGCTAAGACTCTGCTTTCCCATTACAGGGGGCCTAGGTTCAATCCCTGCTCAGGGAACTAGATCCCACATGCCACAACTAAAGACAAAGATCCCGCACGTGACAACAAAGATCCCGCGTGCTACAACTAAGACCCGGTGCAGCCAAGTAAATAAATACATTTTTTTTTTAAAAAAAGATCGTATGTTCCAATAGCTAGAATAAACAAATTTATTTTTTAAAAACATGTAAACAAATAACTTCATATATTAATAAGTATTATTAAGAAGAAAATAGCAATGTGTTTAGAGACTGACTGGGTGGAGGCCCCTTAGGTGTGGGAAGCTCTCTGGAAGGCCATAACATTTTAGATGAGACCTGAAAAATGAGAATTAGACAGCTATGCAAAGAGCTGGGGAAAGAGCATTCCAGACAGAAGGAACAGCAAGAGCAAAGGGTTTAGGATGGGAGCAGGCTTGGCATATTTGAAGAACAAAAGGAAGACATCAGTGTGACTAGATGGGGAGAATGGTAGAAAACCACTGGTATTCTTTTTTTTTTTTTTGGCTGCGTTGAGTCTTTGTTGCTGCACGCAGGCTTTCTCTAGTTGTGTCGAGTGGGGGCTACTCTTCATTGCAGTGCGTGGGCTTCTCATTACAGTGGCTTCTCTTGTTGCGGAGCACAGGCTCTAGGCACATGGGCTTCAGTAGTTGTGGCTCATGGGCTCAGTAGTTGTGGCTCGCAGGCTCAGTAGTTGTGGCGCATGGGCTTACTTGCTCCGTGGCATGTGGGATCTTCCCGGACCAGGGCTTAAACCTGGGTCCCCTGCATTGGCAGGCAGATTCTTAACCACTGTGCCATCAAGGAAGTCCCAGAATGTTATTCTGAGTGTGATTGGAAGCCATTGAATAATTTCAAGCAGGGGATTGATATGATCTGAAGAGATTGATATGATTCTATTTTAAGGAGACCATTGTGGGCTCTAGGTGGAAAATAGATTGGAAGGAGCAAGTGTTGAAGCAAAGAGACCAGTTAGGAGACTACTCCAGTAGTACATGAGACAGATGCTGATGGTCTGGGTGAGGATGATGACGATGGAGGTAAACAGAAGTAGTTGGATTCAGGTAGAGGTTACTGAACTCAATGAAGGAATGGATTGGGGGTAGGGGGTTGGCCACGAAATAAAGAGAGGAATCAAAGATGATTTGTAGGGACTTCCCTGGTTGTCCAGTGGGTAAGGCTCTGTGCCCCCAATGCAGGGAGCCTGGATTCGATCCCTGGTCGGGGAACTGGATCCCACGTGCATGCCACAACTAAAGATCCTATGTGCCGCAACTAAGACCCGGCACAGCTTAAATAAATAAATAAATAAATATTTTTTAAAAAGATGACTTGTAAACTCCAAATAAGTATGCTGAGTGAAAGAAACCAGACGAGAAAGAGTAACATGCTGTATGATTCCATGTCTGAAGTTCTAGAGTATGCAAATAAATCTAAAGTGACAGAAAGAAGATCAGTGGTTGCCAGGTAGATTGGGGGTGGTGGAAACTAAGGAGGAGGCAGAAAGAAGGGGTTACAAAGGAGCATTAGATAACTTTTGTGGTGATGGATATATTTATTATCTTAATTATTAAGATGGTTTCCTAGGTGGGAATTTATCAAAGTGTACACTTAAATATATTCAGTTTATCATGTGCAATTGTACCTCAATAAAGTTGTTTTAGAAGAAAAATAAAGACTCCTAGGTTTTTGACCTGAGCAAACTTGTTAAGTGATATGTCTTTTACTGAGAAGAGAAAGTTAGTTCTTATGATATAGCCTACATGCAGTCTCAAAGCCATTCTCCAGGAATAATAAGAATAATCTTTCCTTCTGTGAATAGACTATATTAGTTAGAGTATAGGTTCAGCTGCTGTAACAGAGTTCCAAAATAGCAGTGGCTGGAACAATAGAAGCTCATTTCTCTCCGTCACAATCATCCAGACAAAAGCAACACAGGGTAAGTATGTGAGTTCTACAATGCCAGAGTTCCCAGGCTCCATCTATCTTATCCATGTGATCCAAGATGACTCATCACCGCCATATCCATAGCTTAGCTAGAAGGAGGGGGAAAAGGACAGGAGAGACTCACTCTGTCCCTTTAAAGGCATCCCAGAAGTTGTAAATGTGGCTCTGTTTGCATCATATTGGCCCAGAGAGAATCACGGGGCCATTCCTGGTGACAAGAAAAACTGGGAAATGTAGTTATTATTGTGGGCAGCTATGTGACTAGCTAAACACCAGGAATTATATTATTATGAAAGGGAAATAAAAGAGAGATACTGGGGGAAAATTAGCAGATTCTGACATGGGAGCTTTTCAGCTTACAAAGCCATTTCTCATTCATCAAGTTATTTGATCTTAACAACTTTCTACGATGGATACTCTTAAGGGTTCATTCCATCTGAAAGAAAGTTTAGCAGAGTGGTTAAGAGTATAGACTTTGGGCTGAGCAGCGCCGTGGGGAATGTCCCGGGGTAAGTTCGCGGAGACGCCGGTTGAACTCCGCCCGGCTGCGCTGCTCGTTTTAGGGCCTGAGGCTCGCCGCGTTCCGAAATGGCAGAGGGGTCCGACAAAGCCTTGAAGTACTATACCCTGGAAGAGATCCAGAAGCACAACCACAGCAAGAGCACCTGGTTGATCCTGCATTACAAGGTGTACGATTTGACCAAATTTTTGGAGGAGCACCCTGGTGGGGAAGAAGTCTTAAGGGAACAAGCTGGAGGTGATGCTGCTGAAAAGTTTGAGGATGTCGGACACTCTACGGATGCTCGAGAATTGTCCAAAACGTTTATCACTGGAGAGCTGCATCCAGATGACAGGGCAAAAATAACCAAGCCTTCGGAAACTCTTATTACTACTATTGATTCTAATTCCAGCTGGTGGACCAATTGGGTGATCCCAGCCATCTCAGCACTGGTTGTAGCCCTGATGTATCACTTCTACGCATCGGAACACTAAACACGTTCTCAGAAGCCAATGGAAGAAAAGACTGCTTTGGTCTGGGGAGAAAGAAGCCACCGTTAACTGTTTCAACAGAACCCTGCACCTGAAAATGATTTGAATACAACTGTTTTCCTTTCCGCCTACATTAGACTCAAAACAAACGAAAAGAATTGTTCTTTCTACTCCTGAACTTTTAGAGTGTGCCTTTTTATTCATCAGCTTTGTTTTGATGTTCCATCACTACGTCATTTGCTTATTGTGGGCACAATCTTTTAAAACATACCACCATGTTTGGCTGTCTGTTTGATATGTAATTGTCTTTAATGTTTGGAATCTGATTATTTGGCGGTCATTTAATTTGCTCATCTTTCAGATCCAAGCTGTCCGTCTGATGTGAGCAGAGGTGCCCTTGGATCTCTTCTTGTGCTGCTTCATCTAATTGAATAATCAGGTATTGAATGTTTCCAATGTAGTTTTTTTTTTTAAAGAAATTAAGGAAGGCCCAGAAATAATAGCTTAAAGATTTCTAATAATTGTTCTGCTTGAACAATCATATAGATGATAAAAAGAGAAAGTGGCCTGCAAGACCTAGAAAAGATACTCCATCTTTTCTTGGATTAAAAACACCAGCAACATCAACAAAAGACTGTGAACCACAAGAGAACATTACCACTGTCCATTCTCTCAGCTTAAAAATGTCATTCCAAAGAGATTCTCAGTTACACAGGTTCTCAGGTTTTACAGACTCCTCCTTCAGAGGTGAAAACTGTTTACGTGCTCCTGTAAAGAAATGTTGATTCCCTAATTTGTAAAAACACACATTTGAAAGAGATTGTGGGATATTTGGAATCTGATTTTTGAAGAAATTTAGCTCTGGTGATGGGCCATGAAGAACTCTGGTGTGGACTGATTGAGTGGACTGATTCAGTCATCCCGTCTTTGTTTACTATTCTCTGCCCAGTGCTTTTTTCTTTAAATGTAGAAACTTGAGAGTTGCATTTATAGACTCGAAGTACTTTGTAGTTAGCAATGATTGTTCATTGGCTTGCTCGCTGACTGACGAGCCATGGAGTTCTTCAGAAATAACTAAACACATTGGAAAGGAATTTGTTTAAATTACAGAGCATAGATTTTTATAATCAATGACATGTATTACCCTCTGCCTTTTTTGTCACTGGAAGTTAGAGCGAATGTAGGAGGGCAGTGGGGCAGCTGTCTCTATCACGTGGGAAAATACCTTGCAGAGGAATCCTTTGTTTAGATTTTAATAAACATAAGCCTGGAACAACAACAACAAAAAAGAGTATAGACTTTGGAATCTGACCACCTAGTTTCAAATCCTGTTTCTACTGTTTACTTGCTGTGAGATCCAAGGAAAATTATTTAACCTCTCAGGGCTTCTGTCTCTTCAACTGTAAAATAGAGATAATAACAGTACCCATCTCATAGGTTGTTGTCAGGATTAAATGAGATAATGCACGCAAAGTTCCTGATATACAGTTATACCTAATCTACATTAACTATTATTTGGTGTCAGGTATTGCAAACATACAGATAAATAAAAGAGCATTTCACAGTACAGTGGGGGTCACAGATAAACAGAGAGTTATAAAAGAATATGAAAATTCTGCTGTAGAGGAAGTAACCCCAGGAGTTGGAAGAACACAGAGGAGGGGCTCCTAACCCAGGAGTCTTGTGGGAAAAATAAGAGTTTGTGGCAAAGAAAAGAGAAACAATATTCCTAGAAGAGACTAAGACACCAAGTTTGGAGAAACACAAATTATTTGGTATGCCTGAAGCACAGAAGCATGTCAACCAGTGAGAGAAAGGGACAGAGAGAAGAGGGCCAACGGTGGAGGGCCTCCCAAGTCAAGCTCATTGAATGCAATGCAATGGTCATTGAATACAATGCAATGGCCATTAAATACAATGGAGTGCTGTAAGCAAGGGAGTGACTGGTCACATTTACACTCCAGAAAATTGTGGTGGCTGCTTTAGGTGGAGTGAGAAGAAGATGAGAAACCAGATCAGAACTAGAGCAGCCTTCCAGACAGCAAGGGGCCAAAACTAAGGCAGTGGAAGAGAGGAGAGCCCCAGCGTTCATCTGCTTTTCGAAGTTCCTTTCCTGTCTTTAGCAAGTCCTCTCTTAACCTTGCCTTATCTCAGCTGCTTTTGCATCACTAAATTTACTACAGAAATATCCTCTTTGATAACATTTCTATATACAGGTGGTCAACCATCATGGTTTGTCCAAGACTATACCAGTTTTTGCATTGAAAGCCCTGTGATCTGGGAAACCCCTCAGTCTTGGGCAGGCCAGGACAGCTGGTCAGCCAACCTATAGAGCTTTACAGAGAGGCAGTGTAATGGTTAAAAGAAAAATTCTGGACCCAGATTGCCTGGATTCACATCCCAGCCCGATCATGTATCAGGTACAGGACCTTGAGCAAGTTACTTTACCTCTCTGTAGTTCAATTTCCCCACATGAAAAATGGGGATGCTGCAATGTAGTAATTACCTCACAAGGTCATTGTGAGGATTAAATGGGTGAATATACAGAGGTGGCCCCCTGTATCCATGGATGCAAAATTCAAAGTAAGGGCTGACTGTAAGGGACTTGAAAATCCCAAGATTTTGATATCTGCAGGAGCGAAGGAACCAATCCCTGGTGGATACTAAGGGACAACTATACTGAGAATTTACAATTTAGATTGGTACCTGGAACACTGTATTTTTCATGACTATTTTGAAATTGTAGCTGTAATAAACTTACTGCCTTCTGGTTTATTTCACTTCTGTCCCACACATCCCCTTGCTCTGTCATCCTTTCTTGGATGTCTCCAGATCCTTCACTTGAAGCTCTCAGTCACCTCAACCAAAGATGGTGAGAAAAAGTAGTTCTGAGACTTGGATCTGTGGGTAGCCTCTGAGAGCATTAAATTGAATTAAAGAGAATTTAAGGTTTTTAAGACTCTCTCCCAAGTGGGCTACTTCCTGATATCCTCAGGAAGGGGGAATTTGCATCTGTTTCCTTTGACAATGAATTATGCCTAGTGCCTAGACAATGAATTATGCCTAGACAATGAATTATGACTAGACAATGGTCTGCCTAGTAGTAGGGTGGGATGGGGTGGGGCATTTGTACGGCTTATATGGTTCTGTGAGGGCTTTAGAGACAGGGATAGGGAGTGATCCTTCCCAGTGACACATTTGCCAAGAAACTGAAGTAACTCTTCTAGCTGGCTAAGTTAGGTTTGGGGCTGGGACATTCCTAGGAGGGAAAGGGGAGCCTTGGCTGTGCCTACCAAACAAAATAGTCACTGTGAACTACAAGGAGAGGAAGTGAGTTGTCCTAAGGGGGAACTGTCAGCGGCTTTTCCCAGGCACCTTGCCACATTTGATTCAATCTGTTTATGAAAAGCCCAAAGAAAATGAGTATTTTCAATCAATCTGATGATTTAACCTTGCCTAAGAGATGAAGCTGGGTAACAGAGCATAACAAAGACTGGGATATTTATTCCACTGGTCACCAGAGAAAGTGAGGGGGTGGGGCCTGCCAGAGGTGAGAGTCAAGGATAGGAGACTCAAGAATCGGGAAGCAATAAAGTCAGGGAAATCAAAAGCCTAGTGGCGAATCCATGTCTCTATCGCCCCAGCTCACCCCAAATGGAAAAAGTTCATTGTCCTTTAAAACAGGAAGAAGAATACAATGGGGTTGGGTTGAGATCTGGACAAAACTCCACATGAAGTTTTTAAATAGGCACCAAATAGCATCAACACAGAAGAATGTTTTTCTACCCTCAGAACTGTACCTAGGATGTGGTGACCAAAGCTTTTCCCCAGAGCACCCACATTTAGCAGCTCCAAATTTTTTAAATAAAGATTTTTAAATTGTAAGAAGCTTAAATTTTTAATATTTTTCCTTTTATAAATTAGAAGAACATGAGTGAGTGTAGCACCTAGTAAGCAGGAAACTTAGTTGAAACAGGAAATCACACATCATTCACCTGTTATTAACTTGCATATGTAGCCACAAGCAATTCCAGACTTACATTTGACCAGTTTAGCCTCCAAGTGGAAAGAGACAAGGCTTCTTTCCTTTATGGTTCCAGAAAGAGTCCCAGAATTGGATTTTCTGGGCCTAAGTTGATCATATGCCCATCTTTGAAATAATCACAATAGCCAGAGGCATGGAATGCTCTGATCGGCCAGGTGCAGGTCATACAACCATTCCTGGAAGGTTAGGGGTATCAGCCCCACCCAAAAAGCAAATGGACTGAGGGAAAAGTGTCTTCTTTACCAAAGAGTAAAGTATAAGTATCAAATGAAGAGGTGATGGATATCACAAATAGGGAAAAAAAAAAAAAAAAGTAGGTGTCCACTACACCTTAGTTGCCAAAGTTTCAACTTTTTCAATCCTCTCTCCTAATGAATAGGCCAATTCCATTTCAATAGGTACATGAACTTCATGATAGTGAATCTCTATTCTTCCTGAGATAGTGGAGGTCAGGGACTTCAAGGAAACAGTCTTGTTTTGCAATGGAGTCCTTGGATCATTGGATGTGAAGGGTAGCATCCAAGGGGACTGAATCTAAGACTTAGTGTTGTTTGGCTTTTCTAGCTCAGGACACTAAGTACTATCTCTTTGTTTTATTAAAGACAAATTGTAGCAGCCACTGTTGATAGGGATGTGGAAGTTACCACTTCCTTTTTTCCCCTCAGCTAAAGTCAAATGCTAAGGTCAGCTTGGGCTTGGGAAAATGGCAAAGGGTAGCTGGCTGTGGGTGAGTAGCCTCCGTGACCTCATAGGTCTTTGTCTTTTTAACCATAGGGATTAGTAGAATACATAAGAAGTCACAAGCAGGAATACTTATCCTGAAACATCAGCATCTGAGGACAGAAAGCCATACAGAATTAGGCGGTAAACTTTGCAACGGATCCTAATTAGTCCATCCATTTTGTCACATACTTATTTCCATTGTGTTCTGCCATCTGAAGTTTAGTATAAAATTTCC